TTTGCTTATTTACGAAGTTGTTATATTAGATTCTGAAACAGTATTACAAGTATCTTCCTCCAACATCTGCCCATATAAACTTGTAATCACCATCAACCAAAGCTAGCATTGACTATGGAGAAGAATCCCTTATAGTTGTGGTATAACGAACCTGAACCAGCCGGTTTCTTTATGGCAATATGCTTTCCATCCAACGCTCCCTAGCAATGTGGAAAATGCCATCTGCGCAATAATTGATCAGCAATTGCTTTCGATTCCTCTGGATCATTTGGAGGAGTGATGACCTCATCTGTATATTCATCAATAATTGCACTGCATACTTCCCTGACAACTACAGACAAGGTGTTACCAGGAACTCTCCGGGAAAATTTCATATCGGCATAGGTCGATCCAGCAGCAAGATGGCGAAGAGTTGCAGCTAGTTTTAACCCAGGCTCTAGCGGTTCTCTTTGAATATACAAAACAGAAAGGTTAAACTTAAAATTATAATTGTTTAAATTCATAGTGTAATACCATTTTATTTTATTTACATCTAGATTCAATATTGTGTACTTAATGTATTACAACTTGCAATTGTTTATTGATACTTTAAGGACGTGACTCGATTATCAGACAGTCGGACGCTACTATTGCGTACTGATTATTTTACTGTATTCGTAATGACAGAAAACGGAAAGTTTTTAAGCCATAACAAAAAAACCTACCGTAACCATGTATATTGTTTGGAAACCCTTTGCTGGATCCTCTGAAGAACTTCATCGTACATTTCTACGGGCATTCTCATAAAATTCCTGAAACTGCTCTGATTTTCTTGTCTAAGTTCAACTAATTGTTCGTCATACAATCCGAACTGCTTTCTCCGTGATACCCACGGCTGCTGCCATAGACGTCTTCGTTGACGTCTTCGACGCCTTCTAATGCCTTGTAAGTATTGGTGCATGTTGAGGTGAATTTGGTCTAAATGTTGTAGAGCCATGGATAGAAGATATGCCCTCCTGATTCTCCCCAGGCAATCCAGTATAGCAAGTGCCAAACTGAACACTGCCCAACCTTTTATACCATTTTATACAAGCACTTGGATATGCAAATTCACGGACATATGCCACTATAAATGTCAGAGCAAGTTTCGTTGAATGTCAAAATACGTTTTTGATACGCCATGGGTGCGTTTTATACGTTCACGGAGCGCTGAAACTACGCCAGGCGTATGTTACAAACACGCCCCGCATACGTCCAAGTAAAAATCGAACGATCTCAGTGGCGGATCCAGAGGGGGGCGTAGAGGGCGTACGCCCCCCCCCCCCCCCCCCCCTTTGCTTGAACTTTTTTTTTTTTTTTTTTTTGTAAAATGATGAATCAGACTAGACTTCGTGAACTTTGCCATTTCCCGGTCGTGTATTTAATTTTTATGCGACAATTCTTTACTTATAAAGATATTTTTCGCTCGTATTTACTGTAATATATTATTGATTATGTCAGTCATATGTTTCGCTACGGTGGAGTTGATCTGTACTTTTGAAACGTCACTCAGTCATTTTGAAATTAAAATAACAGTAACACATTGCTTAGGCGGAGGATGACAAGCATGACGCCTTCAAAGCGACAAAGGATTGAGCAAGAACGTATTGACTTCTATTTCATATTTCCACTCAACAGAAAGTAATACTCTATTACACTCTCGTGAAAAAAAAAAGTTCCACGGCAAAATTATTTACCTACGAAAATATGTTTAACCCCACACGCCCCAGCCAATTAATAACATTGCTGAATAATGATCCCCAGTCAGTAAGCTTTAGATATATTTAAAGTCTAAGGTACGGACCATTTGATTTGATAGGGCAGTCTGAGATATTTTAGAGAAAAAATTCTTACCCTGATTTTTGCCTTAAACAAAAATTCTATCCGTATCTGTAATGAAAACAATTATCGTGTCCCCTTTTTTGCTATAAGAAAAAAAAATCCAACAGAATTATTCAGCATTAAATGAACATGGTGAATAAAAAACGGGCGTAATTTTTTTTTTTTTTTGGGGGGGGGGGGGTTGCATGTAAATCCCATATCTGACCGGAATGTCTGTTTCGCCGAACTGATATACTGAATACTTTTTTCAAGGCCCAACTGCAACCTGCCTGCTGGGTGTGGCCTTTATGTCTCCATTTGTCGACCGTCATTCACAACTTCGTTGTCATTTGATTTTCAGACTCATTCGTAGCCGTTGGTTGATTTGGAACCCCTCACTTCCCTTGTTGAGTGAAACATTTCAACCAAACATTTGGATAAAAATTGCTTGTTTGTCTTTGTTCGTGTCGGTCGTATTATAAACTTCATTGAATAGCCGTATATCATGTTTACAACAAGTAATCTGTGAGGTTATGCTAACTAACCATACAACAAACGAGAATTTTCCATGTCCATTTTTTACTGACAAATCCCACATCAAATATATTAGTACATAGCTTGAGATCCATTCAATCATTTTATAATAGACAACTAATGGGGAGAATGCGGCATCAAAAATGTCCAACCCAAGCTTACCGGCACTTTAACTATAAAATATACATACCCCACGTTAGGAACCGTCACTAAAAATGTGCATTTTACACTTATCTTATGTTTTGTAGCCAAAAAAAAAGGTCCAAAAAAATTTTCGCCTCGCTCCGCTCGGCAAATATTACATGCTACGCCCCCCCTTTCCAAAATCCTGGATCTTGAGGCGTGTACAAAGTGCCGTAAACGTGTCTCAAACTTATCTGTAGCGTTTTTCAACGCGCTTGTAACGTATGTATTACGTACGTGCGTGTAGCGAACAGGTATACGCTTGACAAACGCTAGAGCTAGATGAAAATTTTTTATGCTGCATAAAAATTTCCTGGAGTTATAGCGTTCACCAAGCGTACACCTTTGCATTTCGAGGTACTTCAAACTTATGCAACGCGCGTCTAACGATTGCTTAGCGTTCCTCTTGCGTGCACTTGCGTGCACCTAACGTATACGGACTTAGTCAATTTTCTCTGTACATCTGGTGCACGACGGTCTATCCGCCAATGTGTGACGCCGGCATAACAGGAACAAACTATTAGATTATCTAGGTAACCTGTAATGTAATGTATACGCTTCTTGATTGTTGGGTACTGGCATGTTTCTTTTATTCACAAAAAAAAGATCTAGGTACTGTCAAATGCCAATTTTGCTATTTAATTAAGGAATGACTGTAATTTTTTTTTCTGTCTATGAAGAAATAACATCAAAAATGTGGTGCACACTGAATAACCCGCGTAGCGGGTTATTTTAAAGTGTGCACCATATTTTTTATGTTATTTCGAATAGACAGAAAAATTTTTACAGTCATTCCTTATAATTTAATTCTAAATTCCATTTTAAACCGGAGTTAACCATGAAAAAACGTTAATGACGTCACGGTCACATGACAAAATTATGTCTATGAGCTGATAAACAAAACAACGTCGGCCAATCAGAAGACGCGTTACATCCATAATTAAATTATAAACACGTAATTTAAAGCATACCATTGATACCGTTGCATTTTTACTTTCGTATGCTGTAAGTCGAGGAAATAAATACAAGGATTAAAATTGTGTACGCCAGACGCGCGCGTCTTCTTCAAAAGATACATCAGTGACGCTCGAACCAAAAAAGTTAGAAAGGGCAAACTTACTGTTGAAAGTGACGGAATCGAATATTTAAATGTTTAAATATTTGAATGTTTAAATAAAACCGTTGTGGAGTTTTGGTTTTAGTTCTGTTGGGTCTTATATTCATATTCCAAAAACACTACACACTATTTGGCACGTGGTGGACAAGAAGCGAGTCGAGTGCACAAAAGCCATAAAACATTTGTGTATTACCTTTTGAAAAAATTATACGTGATAATACATTTACCATATTACGATAACATGTTGTGTTTTTATAACTTGAAATTGTATAGCTTTATATATTAGATAACTTCTACTGATTATGTAGTCTGTTGTTATGTATAATTGATGCTCATGTAGCGGAGTTACAGCGTCTTAGTGCATTTAATAAAGTCAAAAACTCCTACATGACATGACATTGTATGAAATTTTTACGAAAATAAAAATAATATTGTGACAGTAATATGGTCAATTTTGCCTGCTGCAATTAATCGAAACTACATGTTCCACGTACGGAATCTTGTCATTTTTTATCAGAATTTGTTTGCCCATTTAGAAAATTGGCGTTGATAACAGATCTTTTACATGAACATGTAATCTCTATCAATATACAAAAGGACTTGTGGGGTGGTTGCCAATGAGACATTTATCTAATAGAGTAAAAATGACGTGGGTTTAAGCAATAAAAAGTCGTACGGCATTCAACAATGAGCAAAGCCCAAACCGTTTAGTAAGCTACAAAAACGTACTAACATGACAAAATGGGAAATATTTCAAACAAAAAAACCAACGGTCTGATATATGACAAAATAATAAACTAATATAGCAGACAGCAACCACCGCCAACCAATGAATTACACGCCCCTGCCTTGTGACAGGCATTCTTGATTTGCTCTATTTTAACACAACTGATAAGACACAATAAAAATACACTTATGAAGACCAGGCTGAAGCTAGCGAACAATAACTAGCGAACAATAAGCCAGCGAACAATAAGGCGATATATCTAAAAACCGAAAAAATGAATAAGACAGCAACGACCGTCAAATGAAAAATATTTAAAAAGGCAGACATTCCGTCCAAATATTGCAATTTCAACTCTATCGTGAAATGGTATTTATCCCATCCATTGATAAAACAAGTCACATCTCTTTATAGGCTAATATTCAGTACCACAGTAAATCTGCATCAGTCAAGGGATTATTTGTAGGTGTAAGACCACTAATGCATCCACTTCAATTTAGAACGTATGTAAAAGTAGTCCTTCCCTGTAAAATATAGCACCTTTGATGTCATTGTTTAATTGAACTAAAATACACATTTGCAGAAATGAGGGTTAGACTATTCCATGGCTTCTAGAGAAAAATAATGAGGGGTGTCACGGGGTATGACTATATAGGTCTTGTAGAAGAGAAACAGGCGCATCTTTTGCGCAAGGTATCGAAGAGCGCTATGTTCAAAAATCTGAAACTAGAGCTCTAAATTTAAAAAAAAAAATGGTAAAAACAGGGGGGTTGGCCTATTCCATGGCTTCTAGATAAAAATAATGAGGGGTGTCACGGGGTATGACTATATAGGTCTTGTAGAGGAGAAACAGGCGCATCTTTTGTGCAAGGTATCGAAGGGCGCTATGTTCAAAAATCTGAAACTAGAGCTCAAAATAAAAAAAAAAATGTAAAAAACAGGGGGGTTGGTCTATTCCATGGCTTCTAGAGAAAAATAATGAGGGGTGTCACGGGATATGACTATATAGGTCTTGTAGAGGAGAAAGAGGCGCATCTTTTGCGCAAGGTATCGAAGGGCGCTATGTTCAAAAATCTGAAACAAGAGCTCAAAATTAAAAAAAAAAATGTTAAAAACAGGGGGGTTGGCCTATTCCATGGCTTCTAGAGAAAAATAATGAGGGGTGTCACGGGGTATGACTATATAGGTCTTGAAGAGGAGAAACAGGCGCATCTTTTGCGCAAGGTATCAAAGGGCGCTATGTTCAAAAATCTGACACTAGAGCTCAAAATTAAAAAAAAAAAATGTTAAAAACAGGGAGGTTGGCCTATTCCATGGCTTCTAGAGAAAAATAATGAGGGGTGTCACGGGGTATGACTATATAAGTCTTGTAGAGGAGAAACAGGCGCATCTTTTGCGCAAAGTATCGAAGGGCGCTATGTTCAAAAATCTGACACTAGAGCTCTAAATTTAAAAAAAAAATGTTAAAAAATGGGGGTTGGCCTATTCCATGGCTTCTAGAGAAAAATAATGAGGGGTGTCATGGGGTATGACTATATAGGTCTTGTAGAAGAGAAACAGGCGCATCTTTTGTGCAAGGTATCGAAGGGCGCTATATTCAAAAATCTGAAACTAGAGCTCAAAATTTAAAAAAAAAATGTTAAAAACAGGGGGTTGGCCTATTCCATGGCTTCTAGAGAAAAATAATGAGTGGTGTCACGGGGTATGACTATATAGGTCTTGTAGAGGAGAAACAGGCGCATCTTTTGCGCTAGGTATCGAAGGGCGCTATGTTCAAAAATCTGAAACTAGAGCTCAAAATTAAAAAAAAAAATGTTAAAAACAGGGGGTTGGCCTATTCCATGGCTTCTAGAGAAAAAAAATGAGGGGTGTCACGGGGTATGACTATATAGGTCTTGAAGAGGAGAAACAGGCGCATCTTTTGCGCAAGGTATCGAAGGGCGCTATGTTCAAAAATCTGAAACTAGAGCTCAAAATTAAAAAAAAAATGTTAAAAACAGGGAGGTTGGCCTATTCCATGGCTTCTAGAGAAAAATAATGAGGGGTGTCACGGGGTATGACTATATAAGTCTTGTAGAGGAGAAACAGGCGCATCTTTTGCGCAAGGTATCGAAGGGCGCTATGTTCAAAAATCTGAAACTAGAGCTCAAAATTAAAACAAAAAAATGTTAAAAACAGGGAGGTTGGCCTATTCCATGGCTTCTAGAGAAAAAAAATGAGGGGTGTCACGGGATATGATTATATAGGACTTGTAGAGGAGAAACAGGCGCATCTTTTGCGCAAGGTATCGAAGGGCGCTATGTTCAAAAATCTTAAACTAGAGCTCAAAATTAAAAAAAAAAATGTTAAAAACAGGGGGGTTGGCCTATTCCATGGCTTCTAGAGAAAAATAATGAGGGGTGTCACGGGGTATGACTATATAGGTCTTGTAGAGGAGAAACAGGCGCATCTTTTGCGCAAAGTATCGAACGGCGCTATGTTAAAAAATCTGACACTAGAGCTCTAAATTTAAAAAAAAATGTTAAAAACAGGGGGGTTGGCCTATTCCATGGCTTCTAGAGAAAAATAATGAGGGGTGTCATGGGGTATGACTATATAGGTCTTGTAGAAGAGAAACAGGCGCATCTTTTGTGCAAGGTATCGAAGGGCGCTATATTCAAAAATCTGAAACTAGAGCTCAAAGTTTAAAAAAAAATGTTAAAAACAGGGGGGTTGGCCTATTCCATGGCTTCTAGAGAAAAATAATGAGGGGTGTCACGGGGTATGACTATATAGGTCTTGTCGAGGAGAAACAGGCGCATCTTTTGCGCAAGGTATCGAAGGGCGCTATGTTCAAAAATCTGAAACTAGAGCTCAAAATTAAAAAAAAAAAATGTTAAAAACAGGGGGGTTGGCCTATTCCATGGCTTCTAGAGAAAAATAATAGGGGTGTCACGGGACATGACTATATAGGTCTTGTAGAGGAGAAACAGGCGCATTTTGTGCGCAAGGTATCGAAGGGTGCTATGTTCAAAAATCTGAAACTAGAACTCAAAATTTAAAAAAAAATTGTTAAAAACAGGGGGGTTGGCCTATTCCATGGCTTCTAGAGAAAAATAATGAGGGGTGTCACGGGGTATGACTATATAGGTCTTGTAAAGGAGAAACAGGCGCATCTTTTGCGCAAAGTATCGAAGGGCGCTATGTTCAAAAATCTGACACTAGAGCTCTAAATTTAAAAAAAAAATGTTAAAAAATGGGGGTTGGCCTATTCCATGGCTTCTAGAGAAAAATAATGAGGGGTGTCATGGGGTATGACTATATAGGTCTTGTAGAAGAGAAACAGGCGCATCTTTTGTGCAAGGTATCGAAGGGCGCTATATTCAAAAATCTGAAACTAGAGCTCAAAATTTAAAAAAAAAATGTTAAAAACAGGGGGTTGGCCTATTCCATGGCTTCTAGAGAAAAATAATGAGGGGTGTCACGGGGTATGACTATATAGGTCTTGTAGAGGAGAAACAGGCGCATCTTTTGCGCTAGGTATCGAAGGGCGCTATGTTCAAAAATCTGAAACTAGAGCTCAAAATTAAAAAAAAAATGTTAAAAACAGGGAGGTTGGCCTATTCCATGGCTTCTAGAGAAAAATAATGAGGGGTGTCACGGGGTATGACTATATAAGTCTTGTAGAGGAGAAACAGGCGCATCTTTTGCGCAAGGTATTGAAGGGCGCTATGTTCAAAAATCTGAAACTAGAGCTCAAAATTAAAACAAAAAAATGTTAAAAACAGGGAGGTTGGCCTATTCCATGGCTTCTAGAGAAAAATAATGAGGGGTGTCACGGGATATGATTATATATGACTTGTAGAGGAGAAACAGGCGCATCTTTTGTGCAAGGTATCGAAGGGCGCTATGTTCAAAAATCTGAAACTAGAGCTCAAAATTAAAAAAAAAATGTTAAAAACAGGGGGGTTGGCCTAATCCATGGCTTCTAGAGAAAAATAATGAGGGGTGTCACGGGGTATGACTATATAGGTCTTGTAGAGGAGAAACAGGCGCATCTTTTGCGCAAAGTATCGAACGGCGCTATGTTCAAAAATCTGACACTAGAGCTCTAAATTTAAAAAAAAATGTTAAAAAATGGGGGGTTGGCCTATTCCATGGCTTCTAGAGAAAAATAATGAGGGGTGTGATGGGGTATGACTATATAGGTCTTGTAGAAGAGAAACAGGCGCATCTTTTGTGCAAGGTATCGAAGGGCGCTATATTCAAAAATCTGAAACTAGAGCTCAAAATTTAAAAAAAAAATGTTAAAAACAGGGGGGTTGGCCTATTCCATGGCTTCTAGAGAAAAATAATGAGGGGTGTCACGGGGTATGACTATAAAGGTCTTGTAGAGGAGAAACAGGCGCATCTTTTGCGCAAGGTATCGAAGGGTGCTATGTTCAAAAATCTGAAACTAGAGCTCAAAATTAAAAAAAAAAATGTTAAAAACAGGGGGTTGGCCTATTCCATGGCTTCTAGAGAAAAAAAATGAGGGGTGTCACGGGGTATGACTATATAGGTCTTGAAGAAGAGAAACAGGCGCATCTTTTGCGCAAGGTATCGAAGGGCGCTATTTCAAAAATCTGAAACTAGAGCTCAAAATTAAAAAAAAAAATGTTAAAAACAGGGAGGTTGGCCTATTCCATGGCTTCTAGAGAAAAATAATGAGGGGTGTCACGGGGAATGACTATATAAGTCTTGTAGAGGAGAAACAGGCGCATCTTTTGTGCAAGGTATCGAAGGGCGCTATGTTCAAAAATCTGAAACTAGAGCTCAAAATTAAAAAAAAACTGTTAAAAACAGGGGGGTTGGCCTATTCCATGGCTTCTAGAGAAAAATAATGAGGGGTGTCACGGGGTATGACTATATAGGTCTTGTCGAGGAGAAACAGGCGCATCTTTTGTGCAAGGTATCGAAGGGCGCTATGTTCAAAAATCTGAAACTAGAGCTCAAAATTAAAAAAAAAAATGTTAAAAACAGGGGGGTTGGCCTATTCCATGGCTTCTACAGAAAAATAATGAGGGGTGTCACGGGGTATGATTATATAGGACTTGTAGAGGAGAAACAGGCGCATCTTTTGCGCAAGGTATCGAAGGGCGCTATGTTCAAAAATCTGAAACTAGAGCTCAAAATTAAAAAAAAAATGTTAAAAACAGGGGGGTTGGCCTATTCCATGGCTTCTAGAGAAAAATAATGAGGAGTGTCACGGGGTATGACTATATAGGTCTTGTCGAGGAGAAACAGGCGCATCTTTTGCGCAAGATATCGAAGGGCGCTATGTTCAAAAATCTGAAACTAGAGCTCAAAATTTAAAAAAAAAATGTTAAAAACAGGGGGGTTGGCCTATTCCATGGCTTCTAGAGAAAAATAATGAGGGGTGTCACGGGACATGACTATATAGGTCTTGTAGAGGAGAAACAGGCGCATCTTGTGCGCAAAGTATCGAAGGGTGCTATGTTCAAAAATCTGAAACTAGAACTCAAAATTAAAAAAAAAAATGTTAAAAACAGGGGGGTTGGCCTATTCCATGGCTTCTAGAGAAAAATAATGAGGAGTGTCACGGGGTATGACTATATAGGTCTTGTAGAGGAGAAACAGGCGCATCTTTTGTGCAAAGTATCGAAGGGCGCTATGTTCAAAAATCTGAAACTAGAGCTCAAAATTTAAAAAAAAATGTTAAAAACAGGGGGGTTGGCCTTATTCTATGGCTTCTAGAGAAAAATAATGAGGGGTGTCACGGGATATGACTATAAAGGTCGTGTAGAGTAGAAACAGGCGCATCTTTTGCGGAAAGTATCGAAGAGCGCTGTGTTCAAAAATCTGAAACTAGAGCTCAAAATTAAAAAAAAAATGTTAAAAACAGGGGGGGTTGGCCTATTCCATGGCTTCTAGAGAAAAATAATGAGGGGTGTCACGGGACATGACTATATAGGTCTTGTAGAGGAGAAACAGGCGCATCTTGTGCGCAAAGTATCGAAGGGTGCTATGTTCAAAAATCTGAAACTAGAACTCAAAATTAAAAAAAAAAATGTTAAAAACAGGGGGGTTGGCCTATTCCATGGCTTCTAGAGAAAAATAATGAGGGGTGTCACGGGGTATGACTATATAGGTCTTGTAGAGGAGAAACAGGCGCATCTTTTGTGCAAAGTATCGAAGGGCGCTATGTTCAAAAATCTGAAACTAGAGCTCAAAATTTAAAAAAAAAATGTTAAAAACAGGGGGGTTGGCCTATTCCATGGCTTCTAGAGAAAAATAATGAGGGGTGTCACGGGGTATGACTATATAGGTCTTGAAGAGGAGAAACAGGCGCATCTTTTGCGCAAGGTATCGAAGGGCGCTATGTTCAAAAATCTGAAACTAGAGCTCAAAATTTAAAAAAAAAATGTTAAAAACAGGGAGGTTGGCCTATTCCATGGCTTCTAGAGAAAAATAATGAGGGGTGTCACGGGGTATGATTATATAGGTCTTGTAGAGGAGAAACAGGCGCATCTTTTGCGCAAGGTATCGAAGGGCGCTATGTTCAAAAATCTGAAACTAGAGCTCAAAATTAAAAAAAAAAAATGTTAAAAACAGGGGGGTTGGCCTATTCCAGGGATTCTAGAGAAAAATAATGAGGGGTGTCACGGGATATGACTATATAGGTCGTGTAGAGGAGAAACAGGCGCATCTTTTGCGCAAAGTATCGAAGGGTGCTGTGTTCAAAAATCTGAAACTAGAGCTCAAAATTAAAAAAAAAATGTTAAAAACAGGGGGGTTGGCATATTCCATGGCTTCTAGAGAAAAATAATGAGGGGTGTCACGGGGTATGACTATATAGGTCTTGAAGAGGAGAAACAGGCGCATCTTTTGCGCAAGGTATCGAAGGGCGTTATGTTCAAAAATCTGAAACTAGAGCTCAAAATTAAAAAAAGAAATGTTAAAAACAGGGAGGTTGGCCTATTCCATGGCTTCTAGAGAAAAATAATGAGGGGTGTCACGGAGTATGACTATATAAGTCTTGTAGAGGAGAAACAGGCGCATCTTTTGCGCAAGGTATCGAAGGGCGGTATGTTCAAAAATCTGAAACTAGAGCTCAAAATTAAAACAAAAAAATGTTAAAAACAGGGGGGTTGGCCTATTCCATGGCTTCTAGAGAAAAATAATGAGGGGTGTCACGGGGTATGACTATATAGGTCTTGTAGAGAGGAAACAGGCGCATCTTTTGCGCAAGGTATCGAAGGACGCTATGTTCAAAAATCTGAAACTAGAGCTCAAATTTTAAAAAAAAAATGTTAAAAACAGGGGGGTTGGCCTATTCCATGGCTTCTAGTGAAAAATAATGAGGGGTGTCACGGGGTATGACTATATAGGTCTTGTAGAAGAGAAACAGGCGCATCTTTTGCGCAAGGTATCGAAGGGCGCTATGTTCAAAAATCTGAAACTAGAGCTCAAAATTAAAAAAAAAAATGTTAAAAACAGGGGGTAAGCCTATTCCATGGCTTCTAGAGAAAAATAATGAGGGGTGTCACGGGGTATGACTATATAAGTCTTGTAGAGGAGAAACAGGCGCATCTTTTGCGCAAGGTATTGAAGGGCGCTATGTTCAAAAATTTGAAACTATAGCTCAAAAATTAAAAAAAAAAATGTTAAAAACAGGGGGTTGGCCTATTCCATGGCTTCTAGAGAAAAATAATGAGGGGTGTCACGGGGTTTGACTATATAGGTCTTGTAGAGGAGAAATAAGCGCATCTTTTGCGCTAGGTATCGAAGGGCGCTATGTTCAAAAATCTGAAACTAGTGCTCAAAATTTAAAAAAAAAATGTTAAAAACAGGGGGGTTGGCCTATTCCATGGCTTCTAGAGAAAAATAATGAGGGTGTCACGGGGTATGACTATATAGGTCTTGTAGTTGAGAAACAGGCGCATCTTTTGCGCATGGTATCGAAGGGCGCTATTTTCCAAAAAATTAAACTAGAGCTCAAAATTAAAAAAACAAAATTGTTAAAAACAGGGGGGTTGGCCTATACCATGGCTTCTACAGAAAAATAATGGTGGGTAGTAGTGTAAAAAGGGGGATTCTGTCGCACTTGCCATTTTTAAGCACAAATCCTGCATAGGGACCCCAACCTCAAACATAAAATGCAAATTCATTGTGTTTCAACTAGTCTAAGGGTAGAAACAAGAATATGGCTTTTTGTAAACAATGGTAGAGACACCTTAAAGGGATGTAATCCTAGGGGTAGATACAAAAATATGGCTTTCGTACAGAAGATGGAGGAACTCAGAAGTTAAAAAATCGTAGACGACGATTTTATTAATGATAATGTTTTCAAGGGTAAAGGCAAAGGACCAGAGCCTGGAAATTCTAAAATGGAAGGAACTCCCAACCTGGGTAAAATATAAAATCCTAGAAGTGGTAGAAGTAGATGGGAAGTTTGGGAGGAGTAAGATCTTCACCTTGAAAAAACAGAGAAGGAGAAACGACAAGGGTATGGGCCTGCAGTAGTCTGAACAGAGAGAAGGAACCCTTGGAAGGAGCCTTCGTGAGAAGTACAGGCTTAAAAGTTAGTAAAATGACTAAACAGGAGTACTTTTCTTGCGATCTTGTAAGAAATTAATTAAAAAAAAAAAAAAAATGGGTTGGATGGGGTACAAAAAATATTTCCATCCGATATTTCTGCCGGATCGGAAAGTTTTGTTTTCTTTTTTGTGTTTTTTTATGCTTGAAACGGAGCACATCGTGAAGTGAAGCAGAACGGAACACATCGTGAAACGATGTGTGTAGTGAAGCGTAATGGAATGATGTGTGACGTTTTTACGGCGCATGCGCATTAAGGTCCTCACTAAAAGTGGTGGAAGGTTGTCGCAGCTGATCTTTCTCATCATAGTAGTTCTTGAGGCAGCTTGTGATCTTACCAAACTCAGCATCATCAATTTGTTCATCATCAGCCAAAGCAGTACTAATACATTGTTCAACCAAGGATTTTGTGGACTGTGCCAATCGCAAGGTGTCACGGTGTTTTTTCTTCTTTTTCATGATACGCCTTGAGATCAGTGTGAGTACCATCACGCCAGTGGCACTCAAGCAAGCAAGGGATCCTAGGGGAAGGGAGGCTATAATACCTATACCGGTCAAAGCTGAACCCATGGTGCAGCTGTCAACATCAAACTGGCTACGGAACACACACCCTGTGCTATAGACACTACTTTATCGAGTCGTTTGTAGATCTTCAAGGTACGTTGACACTTTAGAATATCCGCGTTGAGTTGGTATTCCATACATTCGACTCTGGTCTGCCGGTAACCAGATTCTAAATCATCCATTTATTTATAGGAGCATACCGAGGAGGGGAATGTTTTTGAAGGGGCTGATAGCACCTAAGATCAGACCGGCTCCGTCGTGGAATTGCTGACCACGCTTTAAGTAGAGTCCATCACCATAGGTGATCTGGGCGTTTGATGGTTTGAGGTAGAGACTGTTGCCACTAGGTTTCACGGTACAAACACACCCACTACGTTTCAGGTACAATCCACACAATAAGGCCTTGTTGATGGCTACACCACCCAGACCGCTCAAGGCTCCAACACCCAAGGCAGGTAGAATGGTCTTAGCTACCATGGGAAGTGCCCTCATTACCAGCCCTGCCAACATGGGTAGGAATCCACCTACTTTTTGCACGTTTTCCTTCATTAGGGCGGCACTCAGCTACAGATTCATACCACCAGTACCTTTCTGGAGAAGCTTAATAATCTTTTGAATCTGCCGAGAGGTGAGCCACATCTTGTGTTCACCTTGCAGGTTTGCGTGGGACAAACGAATGGAGACCGGACAACCTTGCTTGACAGCCCGTTGTAGTTTATCAGCTTGACCTTTTGTCAAGTTCAAACCATGTTCGTGATAAGTCATTTATTTATACCTCACGAAGATAAAAGCGGATGGTGAGATGTTCACCCCTGAAATCGATGGGCCTACCATCTTGATCGGTGAGATACGTTTGCATGCGATTGATGGTTCGCAAGGTCACCGGCAAGTATACTAGATTCTTGGGGGTTTGAATGATCTTCATACCAGGACCGTCTGCGGGAAAGAAGCTGTAGATGGTAGACTGCTGTGTACCATTCACATAACTTCTATCTCTATGGATGATATTACTATTCACCAGAATGCTGTTGATGCTGATGATATTTACAATGTGTTCCCCTTCTGTATAGCCGTCTGTGATCATATCGAATGTGTAAATCTGCCGCTTGAATCCCAAGACGGTGTTGATGCTATTGACAACGTTGAAGTCTACTCGATAGTGTCTTGTGAGGGTTAGCGTTGCTCTTAAGGTCGCCCGGTTGGTATCGATGATGATTTTTGTTTTGTGTTTGTTGAGCCGTAGCCGCCGCTGGATCTCATTGTTGATGTCTTCGATGTCACATGAACCTGTGCTCAATGCGATGGGAAACCAGTTGGCACCATCGTCGGGGGAGTAGCGGAAGGAATTGTTACCTGAATGAATGTTGGGGATGGAGTTATAGGTTTCCAGGTTCACTAATGCCATCTCATAGGTCTTGGATTCCTTGAGTTCCAGTGGGGGGGGGGGGGGGGTGGGGGTGGGGGGGTTGAACCAGGTAAGGATTTGACTATCGTTTCCAGAGACGATGAACGAGAACCCCTGTTTGGGGTCAGTGTTGTTTGCAATTCGTCGCAAAAATGTGTTATCCATTTATTTATGGTACACCATTGTCACATATTTTTGCTTCCACTCTTCGATACCGTCATACTGCTCCTTGAGTTGTCTACCAGTCTTCACCACGATCGCAAAGACTTCTGCAGGGCGGCTGGAAAAGAGGATTTGTAGGTAAATTTTTTCCATTTTTACTTTTAGAACACAACGTTCATCTTCTGATCATCGGATTCAAACTGTAGGATTCTGTCGGAAATGATAAGTGCAAATGCTCTGGTGTTGGCCTCCACGTTACGCTCGAACTGGGCCCGGATCTGAATGTCCACCGTGGATTCTTTCAGCCGCTCGGACTGGTGACTCACGTCAATGACAAACAAGGAGTACAGATCGATGAAGTCAGAGGGGTTGATGCCACCGTTGCTGAGGAGGGTGTCCATGTTGTGGAATTTCTTCATGAAGTCAGCAGCCTCTTTGAACACTCTGGCTACCCTGTTTTCGGTGAAAACGGCATTGTAGTCGACGGCCGGGTAGCGTTCAGCGTTGAGAGTGACATGGGTGTTTTGCAATCGACAGTTATCGAACACGGCAGCATTGCGCTCCTGGTTCCCACTTCTCTCGGTTTGGAAGGCAACGATGATGTACCTGGGCTTCTCGCGACCGCTCTTGGCAGATAAACGCCAGCTGAACTGTGAGGCTTTTGGGACGGCTATGGAATCGCACTGCCTCATTCGAAATCCACAGTTGATCTTCGCTTTACTCTGAATGGTTTTGTATAGCTGCATCTTGTTTTCGTCTGAAGGAGTGACGTGGGGGACGAACCATGAGATCTTACGCAGGACAACTTTTCCCACGTCGACGGCGTGGTCCCTCAGGATGGCATTTGTATCTGAATCGCGCACGAGTGTGATTTCATGCCTTAACCCGTACACGATCTTGTCGTAGTCATCAGCGAAATAAAAAATGTGCTTCAGGGGGATGGCGAATGAAAACGACCCTTTGTTCGCCGGCTTGGCAATGATATAGCCACGGCGCGCTACAAAGCCAGTGTTGTTTGCATGGGCGTCGGTGGAGGAATCCTTGAACCACAGTTGGTTGAGACCATGTGATTTGGAAAAGTCGTCGGGGTAGGTCAACATTCCCATCATGGTGGTGGCGACGCCGGGGTCGTTGATGTGCTCGATTTGCTGGCCGGAGATCTAGAGTCGATAGCTGATGGTTCTGAAGAGATACATGATACCATTATGGACGAGGGACACGAGATCAGCGTCGGCATATGCAGTGCCGTCGTTCATTATGAGCCGTCCTTCGAAATTCTACCAAGAGATAACTCTCGGCGGAGTGTAGGAACAAATCCTGGGTTTCGATGTTGATTCGGATTTCAGAACCGGCACTGTTCAGCTGGGCACTGGCTTGTGGTTCGTATTCTCGATCCTGATATTCCTAGAGACTTTCGTCGAAGGTCAACCCTTCGGTGATTGTAAGGATGTCAGACATAATGTATTTATTTATAGCGTTTGACGAATTCGTGGATGGTTTTGATACCAGAGCCAAAGATAAGATTGTTCAACCGAACTTTCTCTGGCTTCTTGCGTTGAACACTTGACTGTTGGGGGGTTTTATTGTGTTTCCTGGGGCGGGTCACATTATCAACCACATGGTCGACGGCTTTGGAGGCCCCTTTCAATACCTTTCCAGGCTGCATTGGTGGCAGCACTCACGGCCTTACTTCCTAGGGTTTTGGCGGCAGAGGAAGTAAACATGTGTCCAGCCGAACTGGCGATTGTGTCAAACAGTCCTCTTCTACCGTAGGCGTACTTTCGAGCGTAACCTTTTAACACTTATTTATAGGATGCTACGATGAAGCGCCTTATATTCCTCGATGCTGATATGTCTACCCTTTTTCATAGCATCGATAATCGACACAATTTCGTTGCGCACACCATTAGTTCCTGCTAGGTATGCTGCGGCACACAGTTCCAAGCGATTGAGAAGCTGCTTGAAGTTGGAAGGTAAAAACACGGTTTGCAGCCCACTGCCAAACTTATTCTTTTAGTAGATGTGGGACACGATTTCCTTCCACTTGTAACCCTTATTTGCCTTCGGGGTTCTCGAGAGGGTGGAATTGCCTTGATACATGGCACCGGAACATTTTAGAATCTGTGCATAGTCCTCTAGGTCTTCGTGCTCGAACGATTCTGGATTCTTTTTCACCATGAGTTCCCAGAGGCCAAGGGTTCCTTTGTACCTCACACCATCCACGAAAATATCATCACCGTCAAAAGTAACTGGTGAGATTCCGATAAAGATACTATCGTTTTCAGATCGCAATCCAAAGGTGTGGTCGGCGGAAGGAGTCATACTGAGCTGCAAATACTGCCGTGCTCGGGGTCCAAGGGCGGTGTCTGTAGGTGGTGCGATGGGTAGTGGGTCGGTTAACTCGGGCGGTGGAGGAGGAAGGGCTGGCACTGCTGCAGGAAGGTCTACGATCGTTTTGGTGATCTGTGAAGCTACCTCTCGCTGAGCCTCAACCACAGGCTTATACACCTTGGAAAGGTCTCGGCTAAGTCCAATCTTGTCGAGGCGATGCTGCATGTTACTGGCTTGAATTTTCCGCTTGGTGTCTTGCAACTATCTGGCAAGTGCCTCACGCTGCTTAGGGTCGATAATCTTGATAAACGTCATTTATTTATAGGATCGAACGCCGTTAAACGCCCCATAGCGTTGGTGTGAACGCCCCTAAGCGTTGGTGTGAACGCCCCATAGCGTTTATAGACGTTTTTCCAAACACCTTATAGCGTTTGAAAAAATATCTCTAATTTAGCGTTTAAAAAGTTGTTGAAACAATGGGGGTAACGAGTATGGTTGTATTCTCTACGAAAACTTCAAGTGTCTTAGGCATAGGTCTATACGCGGTTGGCATGGGTGTGTACACTGGTGGCCTCGAATCGTCTTGGTAGGGCATTGGGGTTGAGGAAAGCGCTCCACCTTACCATACTGGCAGCCAGAGTTTCATGCGTCGAAATCACCTACACCGCTATCGATCGAGCGGGGGATCGCGCGACCACACTTCCAACACATACTCCTCATATCGACTGGGTCCCACTCGAACTTACATTTGCAGGGCCACTCAAACTTGTAGGGCTGGGGTTCCTCTGTGTCTTCATACTCCAGTTCCAGGAAGAAATCTTCAAACTGATCCATTCTTTATCTTATACATCATAGAACTCACCTAATTTGTATCGGTATTTACCTGCTGACTTGTGGCTCGTGAGATCGATGGTTACAAATCCATAGGGTTGGGACCAGCAATGCTTACAAAGAGCGTCAAATTGTTACTTGGTAAGATCGTTGCAGTGGTCACGCCGGATATGATCGAGAGTCTTAGCATCTTGCTAAAAGAGACAGATAAAGTTTGCATGTTCTCGGATCGATTGTCTTGGCAGTTTGAAGTAGTTCTGTCACAGGTATAAACGATCGACGTTGTTGTGGCGATCGCGCACGTAGTAGTCTTCACACGTGTTCTGTTTGCTCAGCATCAAGTCGTCGAACACATGAGGTTCTTGTGGCTAGGGTCAAGTT